ACACTTGATCACAGGTGTGTGCCACCACACTCGACCACATTTTTTAAATATACATTAAAGTGTAGGCACTATGTTGTATAGTAGATCTCTAGGACTTATTTCATCTTGCATAACTAAAACTTTGTGTTAATACCTCTTCAAATTAGAATTTTTTATTTTTTTAAATTTTTTTTTAAAGAGAGAGAGAGAATTTTTTTTTAATATTTATTTTTTAGTTTTTTCGGTGGACATCTTTGTTTGTATGTGGTACTGAGGATCGAACCCGGGCCGCATGCATGCCAGGCGAGCGCTCTACCGCCTGAGCCACATCCCCAGCCCCAGAATTTTTTATTTTGAGTGGAGTCTTGCTATGTTACCCTAGCTGGTCTTGAATAGCTGAGACTACAGGATGGTGTAACCATGCCCAACTCAAATTAGAATTCTCTGTTTTTTTTTTTTTAATATTTTTTTAGTTGTAGATGGGCACAATATCTTTGTTTTATTTATTTATTTATTTTTATGTGGTGCTGAGGATCAAATCCAGTGCCTCAAGCATGGGAGGCAAGCACTTAACCACTGAGCTACAACCCCAGCCCAAATTAGAATTCTTTCAGGAAAGTACTATCTAAGCTTTGTCCTTGAAAATGGTAGTTTTACCTTATACAGGGTAATTATGCATTGTGGGCTAGGCCATTAGAGTCTTTCTTTTATATATAATTGGAGAAATATTAAGGTTATATTTCCATTCAAAGAACTGCTTTTTAAAAAAAATGTATGTACTGATTCTGTAGAGACCAAGAAATAAACTGATGTAAACACACGTACTTGGAAATATGAATTAACAACAGAGCAAGGGCTTTTTAAAGCAGACAGAGATGATAAGTAAGATGCATGGAATTGTAGTGCCCACAAGGAATTTCAATTTCTAAAGCTTTGGGACTGCCAGGGTATTTAGTCTGCTGTGCAAAGTGATGGGGGAATTCATGTTCCACCCAGAGTTAGCAGTGTAAGAGCTACAACTTTAATGAGTTTTTCATGTTTCAGATTACTTATTTGTGGCTGGTCACATTTTTAGATGAATCAATTCACTCATCCAATTTGTACTTGTTTAGAACCCAGGAAATAAGTGAGCATGGCTTGTTTGGCTAAAACATACATAAAATGAGATTCTCCCAGTGTTATGCCCTGAACTATATACCTGTACTTATGCAGGATTATAGCTACAGACCTCACATCATCATTTCATGCTTCATACCCTTGCTAAAGATATCTTTATCTCTCTCTCTCTCTCTTTGGTACCAGGGATTGAATTCAGCCACATCCCCAGCCCTATTTTGTATTTTTTTAGAGACAGGGTCTCACTGAGTTGCTTAGTGCCTCGCAGTTGCTGAGGCTGGCTTTGAACTCGTGATTTTCCTGTCTCAGTCTTCTGAACTGCTGGGATTACAGGCATGTGCCACCATGCCTGGCCACTTATCTTTATGAATGAGAGAACTGAGGCTCAAAGAGGTTAAGGAGCTTACTCAAAGGTCACTTAGCAAATAAGTTGTACAATCAGGTTTGAATCTAGGGAGAGTCCTAATAGCAAATTTGGACTTTAATGTATGGATATTTCATAATTTCATAGATCAATATAGTCTTTTTATTTTACTTGTTAATTCCCTCCCTTGTCTCCAGGTACTGGGGATTGAACCTCGGAGGGCTCTACTACTGAGCTACATCCCCAGAACTTTTCATTTTTTAACTTCTTGGCAGGGTATTGCTAAGCTGCTAAGTCTGGTCTCAAACGTGAGATTCTCTTGCCTTAGCCTACCATGTCACTAGGATTACAGATGCACCATCACACCTGGCTCCTTTTAGGTTTTGAACTGGGGAATGCTTAGATGAAAATGAATAGAAGGAAGAACTGTCTGATGGCATTATATAGGATCACAGAGGTAGGAAAAAGCTGGTGTGCAAAGAGAGGTGGTAGAAAGGTTTTTTCCAAAATATTTTTTTTAGTTGTTGATGGGCCTTTACTTCATTCATTTATTTATATGCAGTGCTGAGAATCGAACCCAGTACCTCACATGTGAGGTAAGTGCTTTACCACTGAGCCACAACCCCAGCCGGTAGGTTTTGACTGTAGTCAATGCACTGGAGACAGAGTGACTAGTGTGGAACTAGAAGACCTGTTCTTTTTTGGTACCAGGGATTGAATCAAGGGGCACTTAACCACTGAGCCACATCTTAAGCCCTTTTTAAATTTTATATTTTGAAAGAGGATCTTGCTAAATTGCTTAGGGCCTTGCTAAACTGCTGAGGTTGACCTTGAATTTGCAATCTTCCTGCCTTAGCCTCTGACCTCAAACTTTCAATCCTTCTTTTCAGTCTCCTCAATCACTGGGATTACAGGCATTTGCCACCTCACATGGCAAGAATGCTTTCTTTTTTTTTTTTTTTTAAAGAGAGAATTTTAATATTTATTTTTTAGTTTTCGGCGGACACAACATCTTTGTTTGTATGTGGTGCTGAGGATCGAACCCTGGCCGCACGCATGCCAGGCGAGCGCGCTACCGCTTGAGCCACATCCCCAGCCCCAAGAATGCTTTCTAAACAAGATTATATTGAGACAAATCAATCATCTCTGCATCTTTCTGTATTATTTGTTTAAGAAAATGATTAGGATATTGCTGCCGCTGCAGGGGTAGATGTTAAAATCCAACAAGAATATTACTTTTGGGACTGGGTTGTGGCTCTGTGGTAGAGCACTTCCTAGCATGTGTGAGGCACTGGGTTCAATCCTCAGCACCACATAAAAATAAAATAAAAGTATTGTGTTCATCTACAACTAAAAAAAATTTAAAAAAGAATAATACTTTTGAAACAAGTGAAATGATTTAAACCCATTTCTGTAAGACAGTTTATGAAAATATACTTAGGAGACACAAATTCCACTGTCGTCAAATTAATTTGTTTCCTAAGCTCAAATTTAATTTAAAATGAGACATTTCTTCAACTACTTCAATCCACCGACTGTCAAGGGATTTTTGGATAGAAAACACAGGAAATTAATACAGTAATGTTTGAGCAAATAACCAGCACAGTTCTGTCTTCTGTTGCTTGTGATGCTTCTAAAGAGTATTTTTAACAACTTCCTGATGAAATGGCTATTGCTAGTGTGAAGCCAGCCTCATCTCTGGATGACACCTGCAAATTTTTCTCCATCCCCATGTCCTAAAACAAACCCATTAACAAACTCTGCTAAATCCTTGGTCTGCATTTCTTATGACTGACCTTTCCATTTTTCCATCCCTGGGTTGCTGAAATGGCCTTCTCTTCAGACTCACCCACAGGGCAAAGGCCTCTTCCCGAAATGAAGCTTTCATCAAGCTATTTCTGTTATTAAAATTGAGGGGATCCCTTGCTTACAGGATGAAGTCTTAATACTGCAGTTGAGCTCCTCATTGTTTCAGCCAGGCAAATTCATTCGCTTTCTTTAGACTTTACTCCTCCACCTACTGAGATTCTGCTACTTGGAATCCTTTGGTGTTTCTTTCTGCCAGTTCAGGGCCATCACCTCCTTCTATTCGGACTTGAGATTCACTTCTTTGAGTATGTTTACCTTGTCTAGAAGCTATTTAGCAGATGAAAAAAAAAACCTCTTGTTTTCGAGCTTTTAATCACGTTAAGTGCTTTTAAGATAAATTATCCAGGTCTAGGGATAAATAACTTACAGAGATTTCCATTCTTTAAGAACCACACAGCACTCCAAATTTTAGGCGTTTGCCTTTTCACTAGGAATCTACACGAGAACCAGAGCAAAATGATTCTTTATGGTGACCTCTAGCGGGCAAGGGACAATCCTACAAAATTGTGAAAAGTGGAGGGCAAAGTAAAACCCTTCCCTGTAACCAGCAGGGTTACTCTATGGTCAGGTGACCGCATCCTTCCCCACCCTTATTTTTTCTTTCAGCATGTTTTGCATCTAACATAATTTGCCCTACGACTCACCTGTTTCGCCTTCCGCAGGTTGGGCTGCCCGTGTCAGATGTCGAGTGAATTGCTGGTAGCTGTTCAAAATAATCCCTACTAAGTAAAACCCATTCCCTGGGCATCCAGCAGAGCTTGGGGTTGTTCGCTTAGCGGAGCCTTAAGGGGCTCTTCAAGCTCCGGTGCTGCAGCCGGATCCAGGGTGCACGGGGGAAATCGAGACATTATGGAAAGGATGCCGACGAAGGCAACGAGAAATTCTGTTTTTGCCAGGGAATCCTCCCCAGACTTTCACCCCACTCTCTATGAGAGACTTCACGAGAGGGTCCAGGCGCGCTACACGTTGGTGCCTTCCCAGGACAGGTGCCGGGGAGAGCGGAGGCCGGGGCTACTCCGCGGGCGGCATCGCGCGGGGGCTGGGATGTGCGGCCGCCTTCGAGCACACGGCACGTGGGTCGCCCTGCGCGGGGAGAGGAAGCGCAAAGTCTGCAGGAAAAGCATCGGCTGGTGTGCCTTCTCTGAGGAATCCTTTTGGGGCGGTCTCAGAAGCTGGGACAATTTCTGGAAAGAGCTCTGGCCAAACGCCGTCTGTCCCTTCTCTTCAGACCCTACACCCCAGACCTCACCTCTGCACCCCTCCTTACCCATCCTGTCTCCTCCTTTCAGGGGCTGTTAAATGAGGCCCTTGGGAGATGCCCAAGTCATCCCGATGGCCAGGGGTGGGATGTGGCAGCAGGCAACCTGGCCACTGGGCTTGGCTTCCCCTACACCAGGGACTCCCGGCTCCTGGCATCCCCGCCCTGCGGACCCCTCCTGGACGCGGCAGGCGGGAGTGCAGCGGGGAGCCAGCGTCACGAGGCTGGGAGCCCGAGGTCCAGGGCGGGGCACCGGGGAATCCCAGCCCGAGCGCGCCAGGGAGGTGCGGGCGGACGCGGGAGGGCAGAGGAGGGCGGCGCGCGGAGGGAGGTGAGCGGCGCGGAGCCGGCAGGCAAGGAGGAGGCCGGCGAGGGAGGCCCCGCCCCCGCCTCTCCGAGCCGGCTCCTCGCCGCCGCCGAACCCGCTCACTTTGCCTCTCGCCTCTGGACGGCTGCGGGGCAGCTGCCCGAGCTGCAGCGGGAGGGAGCGCCTCCCGGGACCTGGAGTCTTCCGCACGGCGCCTCCCCTCGGCGCCCGCGCCCCTCAGGGAGGACGGCGCCGCCGCCTTGGAGAGGGCACCCCGGCATCGCAGGGGGCATCCCCGGGCGCGAGGGGCGGCGGCGCCAACACAGACTCATTCCCAGCCAGTGGGGCTCAGCGCTGGCGCCGGAGGGGACTCCCCGGCCACCCGCAGGTACTGCCGCGCGGAAGGCGCGCTGCTAGCAGCGACGCTGGGCTGCAGAGGGGGCTAAAGCTGAGGGGCCCCGGGCCGGTGCGGGGCAGAGAGGAGCCCCGAGGGAGAGCGGGCCCCGACGGCGCTCTCCCCGGTCTGCCCGAGGCAGGCAGGCCCCACGCGGCGGCCGGGCAACCCTTGAGCTGAGGGTCCCCAGGGCAGCCAGCCATGACCTTCGGGCGCAGCGGGGCGGCCTCGGTGGTACTGAACGTGGGCGGCGCCCGGTACTCGCTGTCTCGGGAGCTGCTCAAGGACTTCCCGCTACGCCGGGTGAGCCGGCTGCACGGCTGTCGCTCGGAACGCGACGTGCTCGAGGTGTGCGACGACTACGACCGTGAGCGCAACGAGTACTTTTTCGACCGGCACTCGGAGGCCTTCGGCTTCATCCTGCTCTACGTGCGCGGCCACGGCAAGCTGCGCTTCGCGCCGCGGATGTGCGAGCTCTCCTTCTACAATGAGATGATCTACTGGGGCCTGGAGGGCGCGCACCTCGAGTACTGCTGCCAGCGCCGCCTCGACGACCGCATGTCCGACACCTACACCTTCTACTCTGCGGAAGAACCGGGCGCGCTGGGCCGCGACGAGGTGCGACCCGGCGGGGCCGAGGCGGCTCCCTCCAGGCGCTGGCTGGAGCGCATGCGGAGGACTTTTGAGGAGCCCACGTCGTCGCTGGCCGCTCAGATCCTGGCCAGCGTGTCCGTGGTGTTCGTGATTGTGTCCATGGTGGTGCTGTGCGCCAGCACGCTGCCCGACTGGCGCGCAGCAGCCGCTGACAACCGCAGCCTGGATGACCGGAGCAGGTACTCCGCCGTCCCTGGGAGGGAGCCCTCCGGGTAGGACGCACTGCTTCTCTGCACGTCCGTCCTGTAGCATCTGTCCGTCCCGTCCGTCCGTCGCGTCTCCGTCCTGTCTGCCTGATGAACCAGGCAGGGTTCAGGGCCCAGGGAGGCCCCACGCGCGCCAACTAAGGGAAGGGTTGGGCCCCGTCGTCACCCCTATTTTCTGGGCACTGACCAGATCTGATACCTCTGCTAGAGACTCAGCTTGAGGGCGAGATCCCCAGGCCTGGGTAGGGGCAGACGGAGATACTCAAACCTCTTATCTTTGTAGTTTACTTCTGAGCAGATAGAGACCTGCTAATTAATTTTCTCTAAACTTTTGTTGTTATTATGCAGTCATTTAACCCTAAGCATTTAATAGCAGTTTCAACTATTTGCCAATTTTTGGTGGTGTTTGAAAAGATGAAATCTTGTTCTGGAGAAATGTGGTCTGCTGTGCTCTGCCCACACATGCTATACACCCTGCCCCCGGCGTAATGTGTGCTGTAATGGAATTGCCATATGATAAAGGAGGCTAATTTAACGACAGACTCTAAATAATGGATGTCTGTGCCCTTTTCTGCCTTCTTTCCCTACCAGGGATGAAGTTAGTGAAGCTCCTGTCTATCTGGTACCAAAGAAACACACTGTGACTTTCAGAGGGTCTTCAGTAATGGGGAGGGAAAGAAACCTTGCCTCTGGAGAAGAGAAAAACCAAAACTGCCTAAAACCCAGAAACAGTATCTGTGTAGTTTGTTTTGTTCTTTCCACTTTACTAGATGAAAGGAGAATATTTTAATCTGATTCCTAAGATGAGGCTTACCTCTTAATGGTGATAACACTTTTCTGTTTTTAGTACAAGTGAGTTTATTTTGCATATTTAGTGGGAGGAATAAGCATACTAAAGTTGGACTTTCAAGGGAGACAGCCATTTTGGGCACAAAAATCAAGTTGTATATTTTGTTTTACCTTTGTTTGGTAACCCTTTTAAGATTCTCCCTCCATTCACTTTTGTATTTTATTTTTTTTTCCTAGTCACTTTTTAAATTCAAGTTTGCACCCTGTGATCTTTTTTTCCTGATAGGCCCGTGGATGTTAGGAATGGTGCTATGCTTCTTGATTTTGCAGTGGATTACTTTCACATAATATTCTTCCTGGGGGAAGCAAAGATTTCTCCATAAATCTAAGTAAATAAAATTGTCTAGTATTATGGAGTCTATTACTGATATGCCATCTTGGCATGAAATCCAAGATACACACTTTGAAAATAAATAAATTAGGAAACTTACTTTGTTTATTTTATTAGGTTCTAACTGTTTTCAATTTGCAGATAAGAATTACTTGGTACTCCAATAGAACAATAAAAGTAGTTTATATATCTAAATACATAAGAGCCCTTGATTTAGACTCCCCCCCCCCAAAGAGGGTTGCAGGAAAATGAACCATAAATGGCCAGCCTTGAAATGATTCACTAGTAACTAGAATTCTAAGATCAGTGAAGACTTGAGCTGTATTAGCAAAGGATACAGGAGACTTGAGTTATTAGCACAGATATGCAGGGAGTAGACTACACCAATATATAAGCAAACACAGTTGAAATACACAAATAATAATTTTTTCGAGGGAGCCGAGGGGTTTTGGGAGTTTAGGGAAAGGTAGGCTGCAGATTATTAATGTACAGCATTTGGAAAGAAGTGAGAGGGATGAATGGTAATTTCAGGGAGAGCATCAGAAGAAACCAAAAAGGGGAAGAGGCAGAGATAGAAAAGAGGGAGGATGCAAAAGAAGTGAAGGAAGAAGAGTAATGCTTAATTTGTATATATGTATTTCATGTATGTATATAATTATTCAAGTCAGAACTGTTTCCTAGACACCAGATATTTTAGGCAAATGCATGTTTTTCTTGGCTTAATGGCCCAGTTTTAAGCTTCCCTTTAGAAGTGTAGGTATATCAAACCAATATCTACAATCCCAAACAGATGAACCAAAGGATGACTGACTGAGAATGTGACACATTTCAGAGAAAGCCCCTCACATGCCTCCTTCAAGTAGTCTTTCAAACCCCCTTTTTTTTGGGGGGGGTACCTGGGAATGAACTCAGGGACAGCACCGAGCCACATCCCCAGCCCTATTTTGTATTTTATTTAGAGACTAGGTCTCACTGAGTTGATTAGCACCTTGTTGCTGAGGCTGGCTTTGAACTCAAGATCCTCCTGTCTCAGTCTCCAGAGCCGCTGGGATTACAGGTGTGTACCACCATGTTGGGCTGAAATTAGTCTTTCTAAAACATCATTCTGGACATTCGATCATAGCTGAGATTTATCAAATAAAGCTCCTTTCTTGGCCTCCAGACTCTACAATTTAAAAAAAAATTAGTTGTAGATAGACACAATACCTTTATTTATTTTTACGTGGTGCTTAGGATCGAACCCAGTGCCTCACACATGCTAGGCAGTGCTCTACCATTGACACAACCCAAGGCTCTTGACAATTTTATCACAACCTTGATTTATCCCATCATTAGTTGCAAATATCTTTTCAGTATAAGCTGTATTAAGGCACTGATTCAAATATTGTAACTTTGTGTTGTAAAGAAAAGTTGGATGTGTAGGACTTAGAGACCATAGATTTCTTGAGATTGTTCTGAGAAGGCATTCAAAGTCAGGGAGGACAGGGAAAAAGCCTTCATTGGAAGGCTGCAGAGATTTTGCACTGTCCCACACTGGTGGGGTGTCATTTATATAAAAACTAGCTTATGCAGCCTGTATAACCCATGTGCCAGTTGTGCTCTACCTGGGAACAAAATAAGGACGCTTCCAGGTGAAAGGAACAGCAAAAGTGTGAAACTTGTATAATGTGTTCAGGGAGTGAGAATTCAATGATAGAGTGAAAGGTGGCTAGAGAGCAGATGTGAGGGAGAATAATTTTATTTTGCAGGCATTGGCTGCAATGGTGAGTCATTGGCTGGTTTGTAGGGTTTGTGGTGTGTGGGTTATGCATATAAAGTAATGAATGTAGCTAGGTGCACTGGCTATGCCTGTAATCCCAGTAACCCTGGAGGCTGAGGCTGGAGGATTGGAGTTCAGAGCAGCCTCAGCAACTTAGTGAGGCCCTAAGTAACTCAGTGAGACCTTGTCTCAAAATAAAAAATAAAAAGGACTGAGGATTTCATTTGGCTCAGTGGTAAACATCCCTAAGTTCAGCTTCTGGTACCTAAATCAATCAATCAATATAATGAATGTGGTGTGTACCATGAATTGGAGGGAGGTGGTGATTGTACCTGGTAAGTTGAATGTGGAGATTTTTTGCAGAGGGAGGGAATGAGGACCTGATTGCTTTGTGGCCGTAAGAATGGAGAATACATGACAACTCTGGAACATTCTAGGAAGAATTAGAATTACTCCAGGATATTGGAAAGACACACGAATCGGGGGCTGATTCAGTGGATTTCCAGGCGCTGTATGTATTCCCTGGGACTTGAGGTTCCATTTGTCCACCCTGGCCTGCTTGCTGGTTCTCAGTGTCTTTTTACTCTGCAATCTCTGGCCTCTTGAAATTGAATCATTCATCAAGCCCAACTCAGGTTGTTTCTCTTGAAGCCTTTACTGTGTATCCTCCTGAACTTCTTGAGAAATTCCTGTTTGCACTGCTTAATTAGCATCTATAATATATACTTCCTAGCATGGTAGTTATTTTCTCATATTAATGTGTTCTAGCTGCTCAGCTTAGATTAGACAGCCCAGGAAGGCACGTGAATTTGCTTACGCTATTTCTTATGGCATTTTTTAGAAAAAAAATTACTTTTCAGGTACAATAAATATCTATTGTTTATATTTCAAAATAGAACCTTTCAGAAAAATTTTTTTTTTTTCTTTTGGTACCGGGTACTGAATCCAGGAGCAATTTACCACTGAGCTGTATCCCCAGCCCTTTCTTTATTTTTCTGTTTTGAGATAAGTTCTTGCTAAATTGCTTAGGGCCTCACCAAGTTGCTGAGGCTGGTTTTGAACTTGGAATCCTCTTACCTCAGCCTCCTGAGTCTTGGGATTACACGTGTGCCACCATGCCTGTCCTTAATACCATTTTTATTACTCTGTCAACCCTTATATTAATTATACGTGGTTCTGGAGATTGTGCCCAGGGCCTCACACGTGAAGCAAACACTCTACCACTGAACTGCATCCCCAGCCCCAGACATATATTTTCTGTTGTATAGTTTGGAGAGCCGTTTGGGGTAAGGCAGTGGACTTCAGGTGCCAGAACTCTTGGCAGATGGGATCCTGTACTAGAGTAAGAAAAAGTCTATCAAATCAAGAAACAGTATTTATCAAGTACTTATTGTACAAAAGGGATAAGGAACATGGTTTCTTCAGAAAAAAATTTTTTTTTCCATGATAGGAATCAAACTCAGGGTCTTACCCATGCTAGGCAAGCCTTCTACCATGAAGCTACATCCTCAGCCCTTTTTAAAAAGATTTCATCTCACTAAGTTGTCCAGCCTACCTTGGAACTTGCGATCCTCTGGTCTGAGCCTCCTTGGTAACTGTGGTTACAGGTGTGTGCCAGTGTACTCCATGAGGAACGTCCTGATTTTCTTGTGCAGCTTCCTGGGTCCAATCTCTCCCCTCTCCAATTCATGGTACGCACTGCTTTCTGTACTTTATATGGCTGTCCTGTAATTGCTGGGCATCTGTGTTGTTTCTTGTCCATACGAGTTGCTTTGGTGATTATACTGTATATGCATATAATTTTGCTTGCTTTTTTTTCCCCCCCTTCCTGCAGCACTGGGGATTGAACCCAGGGGTGTTCTACCATCAAGCTACATCCTCAACCCTTTTTGTTTCTCATTTTAAGACAGGGTTACTGAGGGTTTCAGGGTTTCACTAAATTTCTGAGTCTGGCCTTGAACTTGGGATCCTCTTGCCTCAGCCTTCTGAGTCCCCCCGGATTACAGACGAGCACTACCGTGTCTGACTGACATTATTGTGTTCCATTTGCAAGTATACGTTAGAATA